AAAACAAGACATTATTTGCTTACAAGAGACTCATATCAGAAAAAAGGATACAAAATATTTGGTTTATAAAACTTTGGGTGAAGAATTTATTTCAGCAGATATTAAAAAGAGTTGTTCTGTATATTAACCCCCAATTAGAACCAGAACTTGCATTGACTGATGAACATGGCAGATTTGTGGGGGTAGAAGTTAATTTACATTGGGTCAGGACTATGTTGCTAGAAATCTATGCCCCAAATAACAACAAAGTGATTTTCTACAAACAACTTATGGAGAGATTAATATATTTTTCTTATCAAACTTGGTGTTTGATGGGGATTTGAATGAAGTCATTTCCCCGCAAAGGGAGAGGACTTCTGAGAAAAATATTAAAATTACTCAAACTACCAAAGGTGGTTTTTTTTTTTTTCTTAATAATTTGATGGATAACTGGGTTGGTTGGTTGATATATAGACAGAAAAATGGTAGTTCAAGACAGTATACTTATTTTTCAGAAAGACACAGAACTTTTTCAAGAATACATATGATTTGGATTTCAAGAGACTTGGCTAGAGTAAAGATTCTACCAAAGACTTTTTCTGATCATAATCCTGTGAGTTTGGTTTATAAAAGAAAATTTAGCACTTTTAGATGGAGGTTAAATGAAGCATTGTTACAGAAGGAAGGAATTGTTGAGGACTGTAAAAAGAAATTAAAATAACTCTTTGAAATTAATTTAAACAAAGGCACTGATTTGAGAATGGTTTGGGATGCAAGTAAAGCCTTTATTAGAGGTTATCTGATACAACATAATTCGGAACGTAAGAAGAAGAGGCAAGAGAAAACACAAAATATTCTGGATGAAATAAAAAGAAAAGAATTAACTCCCCAGGGAATACAAGTATCTCTCAACCAATTAAGATTCTACAGCAATAGTTATCTACGATAACAATAAGAGAAACGGAAATAAAATCGAATTATGTAAAACGAGGAATTTTTGAATTTGCAAACAAACCAGGGAAATGGTTGGCATATAAAATGCAAAAAGAAAAAAAAAGAAAATGATATTGAAATTACAAGAGGGAGATATTGCATTAATGGGCAATGTGGCTACACAAAAAACTTTTTATCAGTAATATAATTTGTATAAAGGATATGATATTCTGACAGAGAAAATAGATGAATACCTCAGAAAACAAAATTTACTGAGGATTACAGAAGAACAATGACAAATTATGAATGGATCTATAGGGAAGTTTTGGAAGCTATAAAAAAGATTAAACCAGGAAAGGTGTCTGGACCAGATGAACTATCAGGTTTGTAATGTAAGCACTTTGAGGATGAACTTTTACATCCTTTACAAAACACAATGAATTTATTTTACAGAGAGGAAAGAGGCCACAGACTTGGAAAGTGGCCAACATAGCATTAATACTCAAAGATGGATAAGACTTGACTTTAACAAGAAATTATAGACCAATGTCATTACTGAATAATGATTATAAGTTGTTTACAATGATTTTAGCTGAAAGATTGAGAATAATTTCGCAAGAATTTATTCATGAAGATCAATGTGGGTTTTTACCTAAAAGACAATTGAAGACAATGTTAGAACTGTGTTAGATATTTTGGAATATTTGGAAAAACATAATGAAAAACAAGCCACATTTATCTTTTTAGATGCAGAGGTTTTTGACAATTTGAACTGGACTTTTCCTGTTAAAACTTTGGAAAATATTAATTTTGGATAGAATTTTATAAAATGGGTAAAATCAATTTATACTTCACAGACAACACAAATAATTAATGGAGATCTAACCAAACGATGTGAGATACAAAAAGGAACAAGACAAGGCTGCCCATTGTCCCCTCTTTTGTTTATTTCAGTTATTGAAATATTGAATAGACATAAGACAAGATAGGAGAATTGTGGGTGTTAAGATTTAAAAAGCGACTTATAAGTTAAGAGCTTTTGGAGAAGATTTGGTGTTGGAAGATCCTTTAAAGGGAATTGAATTATTAATAGCTAAATGAAAAGAATTTGGTATATTAGCAGGTTTTAAGATTTATAAACAGAAGACAAAGTTAACAAAAAATATGAAAATACAACAGCAAACAGAACTGATGAACAAAACAGGTTTTAAGATTGAAAAGAAGATAAAATATTTGGGTATCACTGACAAATATAAATTGTGTGTTATTCCAAAATAATTATGATAAGACATGGAATGAAGTTAAAAAAGATATGTTAAGATGGGATAAAGTGCAGTTGTCACTGTTGGGGAGAATATTTGTAATAAAGATGAATGTTTTACCTAGAATGTTATTTTTGCTTCAGCCAATACCTGTTTTGACAACTGATGTACCATTTAACCAGTGGCAGAAGGATATATCTAAATTTGTATGGCACACGAAAAAAAACATGAGTTAAATAAAGGTATTACAAGATGCAAAGGAAAGAAGAGAATTGGGCTTAACTCGTTTTATTTACTTTGCTGCTCGTTTACTTTAGATGAAAGAGTGGGTGTTGCTGAGAAAGGTTATTGGAGTTAGAAGGACATGATTTGAGATTTGGGTGGAATGGATAATTGTTGTATGACAAGGCCAAGGTTAATGTAGATTTTAAAAACCATTACGTTAGACTTGTCATTTTGAAAATATGGAATAAATACAAATCTAGTCTGTGAGCAAAAATACCTCTGTGGCTCTCAGCACAAGAAGCATTTTATAGAGAAGAAATGATAAGTATAAATGGTTAACCTATTGTGATACTCTAGAATTCTTTCAAGGGAAATGTAAAATAAAATCAAGAGAAGATTTGATAACAGAAAGATATACTTGTCAATGGTTTTCTCATGTACAATTATCAGAAAAGTTTAAAGTAGATAAAAGATTTTATGGTTTTGAACAATCTAAGACTGAATTTGAAACAGAACTATGTACAAATGATGAACATATTATTGCTAAAATGTATAAACTTTTGTTGAAATTTGAAACAGAAGAAGTGAAAGAATGTATGATAAAATGGGCTAACATTTTTGGTCACAATATACAAATGGAACAATGGGAAAATATGTGGATGAAAGGACTGAAATTTACATTAAGTTCTACTCTTGAAGAGAATTTTTTATAAAATGATGTACCATTGGTATATGTCACTAAATAAATTGTCTGGAATGTATAAAGGTATTTTGAATTTATGCTGAAAATGTGAACAACATGAAAAGACATTTTTATCACACTTGGTGGACATGTAACAAGGCCAACAAATGTGGATACAGATACATTCACTAATTCAGAAAATTTTAAAGAGTAATGTACAGTTGAAACCAGAGGCCCTTCTTTTGGGACTAATGGACAGACAGCTAGAAAATAGTCATGGAACTTTGCTTTTATATATGACAACTGCAGTGAGATTATTATATACTCAAAAGTGGAAAAGATTGTCATTGTCCATAATAGAGGGATGGTTGGTGGAACTTGCAGAGATGGCTAAACTTACTTCCCTGATTAGAGAAAAGACAGTATTTACATTTATTGCTGACTGGAAACCCTTATAGACTTTTTGCATGAAACAGAAAAAAATGAACTGATGATTTGTGGTTTTGATGATTAGAAAAAAAATCTAAATAATAGAAAAAAGAGACCTTTCTTTTTATAATCATAGAGATAATTTTGTAATCATACTTGTATTTGCTGCAGAGAAAATCGAAAGCTTCTTTATATTTCTTTTCATCTTTTCTTTTTGCACATTTGTCTTTCTTCTGTTTTTTCCCCTTTCTTTTCTTTCTTTGCTTTATATTAGTTGTTAGTTTTTATCTTCTTTTTAAAACTTACAATAACATTTATATTTTAAAAATCCCCCAAGCCTTCTCTATAGCCAGCTTAATTTGTTCATACCTTTTTGCAACATTGGTCGGAATTTCTATCTTCAGAGAGTCATCTGTATCACTGTCACTTTCATTTATTAATTTAAGAGGAACTCTCCCAAAGGTACATATCTAAACAATAAAACACAATTGAGTTGATCAGATGCAAATAAATAAATAAATACAACAGAAAAATAAAGAATACGTTATATTTATAGAATATTTATAGAAAAATAAAGATTTCTACCTGATTAGACTTATTTAATTGTGTTAATGGTTTACGTCCACCAAAAACCAATTCAGTCTCTCTTGAGGAATCATTTTTCTCCCTGAAATGAAAACATAAGATGTTCAATTGTATCAAGGCAATTGAAGCTAGAACAAAAAGAATGCTGTGCAGCATTTTGATCTACTTACCCTGGGAAAAAATTGGGAATACTGCCAGTAATCTCACTAAAATCAGTATTTTTTTTCTTATTCTGGAAGTTTCCAGTTATATTGTGCAAGCTTGGTGCTGTAAATATGCAATTTATCAAGAGACAAAATTAAAATATTTTAGCCAATCTCTGCTAAATGCTGTACACTTAAACATTACATTAAAATGCATTAAATTTCAGAATACATGTTTTAATATATTTTACCATAACACCGTGAGGAACTTTAAGAAGTTTACTCACCTTTCTCAAGTAAGTAAGACAAGTTAAATAACATTTTAGGATTTGAATTAGTGTCACATCATGATTCATAATTAACTATACATTTAGATAATTCTAAATCAATCATCGTTCTTCTAAAATTCATGCTATCTATTACAGCTGTGCAGTGATCAGATTCAAAGGGCAAAATGTGACTCAGAGTGCATGTGGACATGCACATAGCATCCATCAGGAACACCTTAGAGCAACTGCATCTTTTCTTGGGTTTGCACATCTATACTTTTAGCTGATTAATGATACCAGAGAAATATGTATTTGGTTTAATGAGGGAAAGTGGTGTTATGTGCATGCCCATCTGCACAAAACTGAATCACATATATAATACCTGCTGACATCTAGCCAAATAAAAATATCCAGTGATTGGGAGCAGATTTTCAATGCTTCTATATTTCCCACCCCTCCCTCTAACTAGAATAATAAAAAATGATGCAGAAGAACTCAGACCACAGAAAATGAGGAAATTTAAACGTATTTATGTATTTATTTATTAAATGTATATGCTGCCCGACTCCCAGTAACTCTGGGCAGTTTACAAAATGCTAAAAAACATTTAAAACAACAAAACAACGTAAAACAAAGAAGAGCAAAGATTGCAAAGATAACTAATCCAGGTGAGAACAAAGAAAAAGACGAAAACATGCTTGTCAAAGGCCAGGGTGAAGAAACACCAGTAGGATGAGGGCCGTTCAAATCTTGGGGGGAACCTCATTCCAGAGGGCAGGCCCTGCTACAGAGAAGGCACACTCCCAGGGTCCCAACAGATGGCATTGTTTAACTGAAGGAACACCAACCTTGCCAGATCAGACTGGACAGGCATATACCATGGAAGATAGGCAGTCCCTCAAGAAACTAGGCCTATGCCATGTAGGACTTTATAACTAACAAGCAGCACCTTGAATTGCACCTGGAAGCAAAATGGCAACCAGAGCAGTTTGCAAAGCAAAGGTGTTACATGGGCATACCGAGGCATGCTCATCACTGCCCATGCCGCTGCATTCTGGACCAGCTGAAGCTTCTGGTGGTTTTCAAGGGCAGCCCCATGTGCACTTCCTGTTTGGGATGCCGCAGTGAGTGTGCGTCTCTCGTCTCTCTCCTGATTAAACTTCTGTATTATCAGACTGTGTGGATAATGACTTTCATCATTTGGTAAATAAAACTTTTTGTTACGTATTATTTTGTTTTTAACAAGCTATTGAAATGGCAATTAGACTTAAGTGTTCAACAGCAGGCTCAATTTCAACTATGCCACTATCTGCTGAGCCAGGCAAGATGGCGGAGGAAGATTCTTCTGCTACTTTACTAAAAGTGATCCTGGCTCAGGTACAACTCTTAAAGTCTATCCAACAAAATCTGGCAGAACTTAAATGTGATTTAAAATTGATACAAGAAAAAATGGCTCACTATGAGAATTGTTTAAATGCCCATGAGATTATAACTCAAGCCAGTCATAATATTTTAGATAAACAAATTACTTATCTAGAGTAAAAATTGTGCAGGAAAGAGCTACATGTGATTGGTATTGAAAACCTCCAAGTCAATCAAACCTGGCTGAATTTATGGAATATTTTTTCAGAAAGCTCCTTTCTTTGAGAATGGACTTTCCAGTCAAGATTGAACATGTGATTAGAATTCCTTTAATAAGAAGGAAGACTAGAACTAGTTCCAATATTATTATTGTGCAATTCCTCCGTGTTACCACAAGAGACAAGATTTTATGTATTTTTCACCAGGAATCAGTAAAGTCTCCTTTGAAGTAGAGCTCTAGTCAAAGCAAGATATTATGATGGAATGTATCTACGAGGAGGAGAGTGGTGTGGGAGATCAAGGCTATCAGGAACGAGGGGATGCATTCCAGCGGGAGAAAGGAGGCAAAAGGCAACACAGTCCGCAGGGGGAGCATGAGAAGAGTAAGAGATTCAGAGTAGCCACTCCCTAGAATCTCCCAGAGTATATCCACTAGTTGCTGTAGTATAGATTTAGTTTGGCAAGATTCTGTCTATAAGGTATAAGCAAATAAAGGAATTGTACTCGAATGGACTATTTCATGAACCCAACCCAGGTCACCTCCTTGGCTGTTTTTACAACCCAGGAGGGACCCAAATCCAGTAAACAGGTGGCTGAGCTGAAAGCAAAAAGAGCCTTGTCTATTTCCTCAGGAGTCAGCAGTTCAAACCCATCCCAGGTCACCCCACCAGACTGCATTGTGGGTACCAAGATGTAGCAACTCTGAGCAACTTTATCTGCCAGATAGTCAGAATAATCCTCACAACAGCTCAACCGATATTCCGAGGGGCCCTCCTTATCCAATAGGGACCAGTTCATTCTACATAGACTGCTCGATGGCTATCAGCAGATACTAAGGGTGGAGAAATACTGACGTTTCACCACCCTTACCACCACGAGGTTATCCCTAATGTGGGTTCTTACCCAGATCTGGTCAGACTTACTTCATGTCTTCCACCAAAGGTGCTCCAGGTGTCTCTTCTGGTGCTTCATCTCCTGGAACTGCTTAGAAATCAAGGTGCATCCTGCGACTGGCATGCAGGGAGACACTGCATAGGAGCCATACAATCCAGAGCTCCAGCCACCCACCCATGCCAGGGAGCAACTAGGGCCTCAGCCAAACCGTCCAGCAGAACCTCAAGGAAAACCCCAAGCTCTCTCTAGAACCCCATTGGGTCCATCAATCACTTGTTAAATTTGCCTGATTCATTCAAACTGAAGAACCCAGATTCACCAACTATGTTTTGTATTAACTAGACGAAAAAATTAATTCTTAATCATTAAATATACATACCTTCAAATATTTCAGTCTTTGATTAAATATATACAAAAGCTTTATCATGATGAATGCTATCAATCGGGAATGGGGGATTCTACTGCCATATAGATTGCAGTCATTACTCAGTCTTGTGCTGAACTTTAATCATGACTACCTAACATTCCAGTTTTCTCAAAGGCTCTACAATAAATATACCAGTTTTGATCAACACCAAGATTTCTGGATTACCAGTGTTCATATCTTTAACATTGTTAGAGGACATTTAAAAGTTTAATAAGACAAACATTACATTAGCAGAAACTATACAACAGGGTTACAAGAGCAACTGGAACCGGGATTCCCATCGTTAAGTGATGCAGTCATAAAGCACAATGTCATGTGACTGCAGCACTTAGTGACAGCAATGCCGGCAGTCCTGGTTGCCGTCATAACCCCAGGATGCTTGGATCATTAACCAGGAAGAGGTGGGAGTCCCAATGCAAGGAGTGCAGGGGGTGTGTGGGTGCCACGGGGGGTGGGGATACCATGGGCAGGCATTAGAGAGCATATGCAGCTCAGCCCAGGCCACAGGAGAGCTGGCAAAGGCGTCAGGCGGGTCAACGGAAGCTTCAGGAGGGCCGGGAAAGGCCGCAGGAGGTGCTGCAGGCAGACATGCACCATGGAGTGCAGGTGGGGGTTGCTATAGAGTACGAGATCCCTGGGATCTCATGCTCTGTAGTGGGCTCCTTGGGAAAAAAAGTGGCAGGAGCGACTTATTGTGGTGACTTGCAACTTTCTCTGCCGACTTCCCCAGTGACTTTGCTTGTGGGAAGCCGGCAGAGAAGGTTACAAATAGTGATCATGTGACACAACTCACTGTGATGTCATAATCATGAGCTGGGCACCCAAGCACCCAGATCACAATCATGTAACCGTGGGGATGCTGCGATGGCTGGAACTTCAAGGCCTGGTTGTTAAGTCCATTTTTTTCACCACTGACCTAACTTTGAACTGTCACTGAATGAATGGACATAAGCCAAGGACTACCTGTATAGATTTTTCTTAACCAGATTTCTTCTCCTATATATAACTGATAGGTTCATATATAGCAAATGTCCAATTTAATTATACTTAACCAAGTCACAAGCATTGTAAGCAATAAAATGAAAGCCTGAATTATGATTAAGATATACTTTAATAAATCAGTTGAATTTGTGAGCCATTTTTTCCAAAACTAGAATAGCTATTTTGTAAATAGCTATAGTATGTATACATGTGTAATTTCCCAGTGAAATGAATTTGCAAACTATGCCTACATGAAAATTGTAAAGTCTACACTCTTAGCTTAAAGCAGAGTGAGGTTATTTACCTCAGTTATAACACTTTTAATTAAAATTCAAAAGATCAACATTAGTTTATGGCTCACCTGTCAAATTTTCTTTTTCTTCAACAGAAAGTAGTTGTGGTTTTTGTAAGTTTAAGTTTCGTAGAGCAATTTCTAACATTTCTGCTGGAACTGCTCTTGATTCTGCACCTTTTTCAAGCAGTTGCTTAGCTTTTTTAACATTTCCTAGTAAAAGATAACAATCAATTTACTTTTCCAAGAAAAAAAAAACACAACACATTTTTGAAAATAATAAATAAGTAAAGAATGTCCTGAGTTCAGTTCCTATTATGTGACTACACTGACATACTAACCCAATTTTCTTGGCAACAATACCAAATCTTCTTCCAAGGTATTCTTTGAATTTCCTAGAGATCTTCATCCAAACAGTAATCAGAGCCAACCCTGCCTGGCTTCCAAGTGCAAACCATTTAACAAAAGACTGCCACTTGCTATAATTATTTTGAAAAGGACTATTATTTCCTAGAGGATTCTGCCAAATTATTTTTCCTTTATAACACATCTAGTTTTTTTTTCTTACGTAACATTAATTTCAAATGTAAACATTTATAAAGAGCCCTTTATGTTAATATAATAGCTTTTATCAAAGCAAATACATAATTAGGCAATTACATAATTTACTTCACTGCCAAAACCTGGCAGTATGCTTACCCACCTATACAGACAGTAGATGTTCAATGTCACAGAGATACTAAAAAAATCAAAGATCATGCATTTTTTCCATTTAAAGTTTGCCATTGTCAAGGGCAGAGTAGGGGAAAAACAATATAGGATATAGATGTCAAATCTGATTTGATACTTACTAAAGACTGAGTCATGTTAACTGCAGATAGTCCTCACTTAAAGTCCATTCGTTCAGCAACCATTCGAAGTTATGACGGTGCTGAACAAAAGGACTTACATCCAATCCTCAAAGTTCCAGCCCTTGCAGTGCCCACATGGTCACGTCAACATTCGAGCCCACCCACATTTACAACTGCCATTTGACCACCCACCTATTAGCTGCCCCACCGCCTGGCCCTAGCTTGCCACTGCCACACTATGTGCCACTACTGTACCAGCCAGGGCCTTTTGCACCAGTGCAGCCAGGGCCTTCTCTTGCACACTGGCTGGGGTTTCTTTCACATGCTGGCCAGAGCCTTCTTTCACGAATGGAGGACCTGGTTGGCATGCAAGAGGAGGCCTCATCTGCACTGGCACGAAAGAAGGGGGCACAAAAGAAAGCCCCAGCTGCTACAATAGTGGCATGCGGTGTGGCAGGCACAGTGGGCAGAACTGGGCAGTGGGGGCAGTTAGCAGCAGCAGGTAGGCAGGTGGTCAAAAAGGCAAAAATCCGGGGGGAGACAGGTGGATTAGGGGAGTTGAAGTAGAGGCAGTCCCTTACCTTTTTCCAAGGATGGCTTGGATCCAGGTGGGTTCTTGCTTAATGACCACATGGGATTTGCTCAATGACAGCAACTGGGAATCCCAGAACTGCTGTGACTAAGCAGAGCAGTCACGTGACATTTTCCTTAACGACTGCATCATTTAGCGACAGTTGCCAGTCCCCATTAGGGTCGTTAAGTGAGGACCACCTGTATTTCTTTTATTCAGGTTTAAAATGTGTATATCTGTATTCTTCTAAAATCTTAATAGAGGTGTCTAGAAAGCTTAATTTAATTATTAAATTTAATATAAAATATTAAATATGAGAGTAAGTTTGGCATAGTAGTTAAGGGCTGAGATAGAAACTGGAAGACTTGCGTTCTAGTTCTCCTTTAGGCATGAAAGCCAGCTGAGTGACTTTGGGCCAGTTAATCTCTTAGCCCAACCCACCTAACAGGGTTGTTCTGGTGAGTAAAATAGGAGGTGGGAGGATTATGTATACCATTTTGAGTTGTACAATATAAAGTTGGGATATACATCCTATAATGAAATGAATACAATTTTAAGAATTATATTAAATATTAAATAATGTATTTCATAAATCATTACCATTACATAAAAAAGCCACCTTAAATTGTTTCTATTCTCTATTTCAATTTACATCTACCCAAGCACTGTACAGCAAAAATATCATTATCCAATAGCAATTAAAAATAGTTTTCTTTTAATCAATTGAACTTTCATTCCATCGGAGAAATAGCAAGGTGAGTAAATACAGGATGGGACAGCATGATTCTCGAATTGCAGTAGGGGAGTGACCTGCTCTAATTTTTAACATTGTCTGCTTTGGTATGAAATTTGTTAGAAACAACCTCTGGGGAAAAAAAATACTCATTTAATCTTTCAATCATCAATGTGTTCTCCTACCCAAATAACTGTGTCCTTAGAAGAAAAAACAATGAGTGTTACTGTACAGTAAATAAAAATAAATAGAAGCAAATCTATATTTAACTATAAACTTGTTCCTACAAACCTTGTGAAAGTTCAAATTGTGCAAAAGCTACATGGACAAAAGCAAATTTCTTGCAGTTCAACCTAGCAAGATGGAATTGATCACGTGCTTCTTCTGGTTCTTCAATGCTGCAAATAAAAAGATCAATACAATACTGATTAATTCAGAGAAAAAATGTTACATGTTGTTTTAAAAAAAATAAATAAAACCCCTACAGAATAGCAGAAGCTATAACATTTACACAAAACTATATTCTAGAAAGAAGTAGAGCATAAACAGAATGTATTTCACTAACGTTGTCCTTCATACAACTAAAGGTAGTCTCCTTCGAGTCAAGCTCAACTCTGGGTGGCTTACCGTACATGTCCATCTGGGTTTCTTGGAAAAAGCACAAAATTGTTTTGCTGTTACTTTTCTCTGGGACTTTTTTTCACCTTCTATTCTTGCCTACATCCCTAGCACTTCATGGTGGTCTCTCATACAAGTACTAACCAAGTCCAATTCTGCTTAGCCAAAGCCAGCTAAGTTATTTAAAACAGCAACAACTGAGGCTCAACTAGAATGTATTTCACAAATAAGAAAGGATCAACCAAATCCAGGCATGGGCTATCATGGATTTGGAGTCTTTCTAAGAGTGTTGGCAACTGTAAGGCTGGAGATCACCCAATCACCTTTTCTTACTTTGATTTTCAAAAGCATTTTATAAAGTTTTTATTCAAAAGTACTTGAATAAGCAGTTAAGGGATAAAAGATCCTGACCTTCTATGGATTTGTACATACATAACACAAAGAATAAAAATAAATAGACCAAAAATTCTTAATGGAAGTAATTAAATGGAATCCCTTAAGAAAATGTTTTGGGACCAGTGCTTTTTAAATTATTTATAAATTGTCATGATTTAAAGGGTAAACAGTGAGTTGGCCAAGTTTGCAAATGAGCAATTTGGAAGTAGAAGCCTGCAGTAAGTACTCATCCATATGCTTTAAGCAATGCATTGAATGTTTGACTGCTGAAGGAGTCTTCCAACTGAGATTCATCACTGAATGCATGTTATTTATGGTGATGGCTGTGTTGATGTATTTCTGTGTCACTGGGCCAAAACAATGTGAAGATGGTGAACCAGGAAGAGCTGACTGTGTGATCAAGTACAAAGTGGGATCTGGTGACAGCAACTGACAAATGCCACATTAGGAAGGTTGATAAACTGATTAAGGACAATCAGCGATTCACTCAAAGGGAAATTGCTGTCAAGCTTGGCTTTTCATAGGAACATGTGGGTCACATTACTGATGTTCTTCTATATTAGATTTGTGTAAGAAGGATTCCTCACATGTTGACAGCAGAGATGAAAGCTTCATGAGCTGAAATTTGCTAACAATTGTAGTCACACCACGAAAAGGTGAGAAATTGCTTCACAGCACTGTGACAACCGACAAAACATGGACTCATCATTATGACCCCAAAACAAAACTTCAGTGCATGGAATATAATCACAAAGTTTCACCTGTGGAAAAAAATTCAAAACCCAAGCTTCTGCAGGAAAACTGATGGTTACAGTTTTTTGGGACACAGTGTTATTCATGTAGATTTTCTTGATCCTGGCATCACTATCAACTTAGACTCTACACTATAAGACAATGCACAGTGCAACACTCAAAACTTTGAAACAACATTTGAGCAGGGTTCAAAAGCACAAGAAGTAATTTTGCTGCATTGTGACAATGCTAAACCTCACACCAATCTCACCATCTTACTCCATCTACCATACAGTCCAGACTTGGTGCCATGCAACTTCTACTTCTTCCCCAAACTGAAGGAATACTTTTATCTGTTTGACTCAAATGAAGAGGTAGAAAGGACTGTCAGGATCTGACTGAAGAGACAAAGCGTGGAATTCTTTTGTGGTAGTTTTAAGAAGTTTGTCCATCATTGGCAGAAATGTGTATTGAATGGTGGTAAATGTGTGGCAAAGTAAGTTCAGGTAACATAACAGTTCACTTCAAGGATTATTTTCCTGTTTTATTTATTAAAATATCCCTATTTATACTAAAGTTAGGGAGGTGATGCATTAGCTCAGTGAAGATGTCAGCTCAGTGTGCAGCAGGCAAATTCTGTGTTAGGGAGTATAGATATGCAAAATTCACCAAACCAGGTATGGAACATTTTAGAGGACTTCATGCCAAACCTTGGAGATTTGTTCCTGTTTAGTAAATTTTGCACTTCTGTAATCACTATAATTTAATTCGTCTTTTTCTCAGATGTCATATTTATTTTTGGATCATTGCATGATCCAAAGGGGAGTTCTCATGGTCCAAAAGGGTAACAGAACATTCTGGAGTTCTCTGGAATGTTTTGTTCCGTATTAGTGAGTTTTGTACATCTCTACTAAGGATCATTACTAAGGATCATTAGTAAAACTGTCAATGTCCTTGTATAAACCTCTGAAACCTCTGAATCTGGAATACTGTACTATCCAGAGTTCTGGTCACCACTTATTACAGAGCTGGAGGAAGTATAGAAGACGGCAACCAAAATGATTAGGGATTGAACATCTTGCTTACAAGAAAATGCTTTGAACTCTCTAGCTAAGAAAAAAAGTTGCTGAAGGAGAACATGATTGATGTATATAAAATAATGCATGGAATGGAAAAAGGGGGCAGGGAGTTGTTTCCCCTTTCTCAAATAACTAGGACCAGAGGTCATCAAATAAAGCTGACTAGTTAGAGATTTAGAACAGACAAAATAAAGCAATTTTTGGTATAGTACATAAATGTTTTAATTCTTGGTTTTATTGTACACCGCCCGAGTCACTTTGGGTAGAGGGGCAGTGAACAATATACAATATACGGTGTACAGTATAAATTTGACAAATAAAGACAAATAAATAAATAGCTTGTAAAATTAATTACCACAAGGTGTGATAACCACTAACTTGGATGGCTTTAAAAGAAAATTGTATCAATTCATGGAAGACAAATCTATCAAGGGCTATTAGTCTTGAAGACTCAATGTAATCTCCAGTCTGGGGAAAGTATGCCTCTAAACACCAGTTGTAGATGAACAATGAAGACATATATTGTCTCCATCTTCTCCCTGAGAATACCTAGAGGTTGGGTGTGCAGAACAAAACATTGGGCTAAGATCTGCCTTGGCCTCATCCAGCAGGGCTATTTTTATGTTTTAGATGGGGTCTGGGTAAAGTCGAAGCCTCTAATCCAGAAATGCAAGGGCAAAAGCAGCAAAAAATGGAAGCAAAAGTAAATTGAAATCACAGGATTATTTTGTTTTCCTAGAAGATTAAGTGCACTTTTTTATGACTTCTTGAACAAAACATGGTTAAAATAAGCCTGGTTTAGTGTAATATGCGATCATAGCCAATCCATTTGAATTTCTTTTCCAGATTGCAATACTTACGCTTTCAGTTCTGCAAATCTAACCAGAATGTGAGCATAATTTTCATTCTGGCTATATTTTTCTGCTGACAGTGCTGCAACTGCTTGGCTGTAACGACCAATCAATCTATTCAGTAAGCTCGTGTCAGTCCGAAAAGTACCCTTTTTCTCCATTTTGAGTAAGAAACTCAACCAGTCTTCAGGATTATTAGCGGTCATCATAATCTGATTAACAGTTCCAGAATTATCTAAAACATACAGACAAAAAAGTATTTAAAGCAGTATTAAAAAGACAAATTATCTCCAAAATTAATGTTGGAAAAGATTCCTCATAAAATAGTAATCAAGCATACAAACAGGTGTGTGTGTGTGTGTGTGTAGCTAGATATAACAATCCACATATATATCCATATTATTCTAATCTATAATGCTACAACTGTCAACAAGGACTGGTGGCTTGTCTGCATTACATAAAAATATTAGATATTGCAAGACACCTCAATACTTTATCTTTTAATGCTTTTTGAATGAAATTACTTCTTATTAAATATGAAGATATATTTAGAAATGTAGGAGAGAAGTTTGATAATAAAATGACAAATTCCCAATTGAAAGAAACTCAAAATATGAAATGACTACTAGAAGTTCCCTCTGTAACTGAAGACGCTGTGTGTATGTGTGTATCTGTCTATCCTGTGTGTGTGTGTGTGTGTGTGTGTGTACACAAACACAAACATCTTCTCTGACACTTCAACAACACAGAGAGAAGCAATATGCAAAGTACTTTAAAATGGGCCATTTCAGCTTAGATCATGATCTGACAGACAGCAAAAGAATGTTCCTTATATTTGGGCTACTAAGAAAAATGAGTTTATTACTTAATCTTTAAAACTCAAGGAACAAATAGAGTTAAACAACTGTCAATACAAGAACATATAACTACCCTAGAAAAAGGCTGGGAAAAAAATAGAAAGTAACCCTTATAGATGAGAAGCTACTTTTTTGTTGTTGTTGTTATCTGTCAGAAGAAATTTAATACCACATCCACTTAATGTAATAGGTTTTTAAAAAATTAAAGAAAAGGGGCATTATTTGGGGAAAGGTATTCTTGCTATTCAATTATCATTAATTTAGTTAAAATATTACATACCTGTGGTATCAGTTGATGCTTTAGTAAAGTTAAGTTCATCTGTAATATTATCCTCATTTTTATATTTGCTTTTTAGGTCTCTAACTCTACTCATAATAGATGCAACAAACAGACCCTTTTCACTTAAGTCGTCTTCCTGCATCTCTAGAAAAAGAAAACTTATATTAAATACAGAACTTTCTAAAAATCTGAATGTTTAACTTGTAGCTTTGAAAAGAAACCTAGATTACTTTATAACCAATATTTTGCACAAATAGTTAAGTACAAAAACATCTTAATGCTAAACATTTCAGTAAATTAGAATAATGTATCCTTTAGACCTATCAAATTCTAAGTCTGCTTTATTAAAGCATACATACTAAGAAATCAGTGAAAATGCAATTAAATCATTTAAGCTATTAATCTGCACATTAAAAAATAAGTAACTTGGTAGGAAATATTTGCATTTGCCTAGCTTAATTTTTAATGCAATATTTTCCATGTTCCCACAAAGCCAGCCAAACAACTTTTCTGAGAATGTGGCACAATCACACATAGCATAAAAATGCAAGTCTGATGACAAAAGAGCACATGAACAATCTACTCATGACATACTGAGATGTGAAAAGTTGCAAAAGCAACCTGTTGAAGCAGTATAAGGCCACCTCATAGAGTTGCCACATTTGCCTCTCCCCAGTCCATCCTCATTCTGGGACTAAATCAAGATTGTACGATCTAGGATGTGAGATAAAAATCATGTCATTCATTATTATGGAATATACATTGCTAAATGCATCAGTGATATTTTGCTAGAAAAAAATTCAAACCTTCCTTTATTCCTACTTCTTCATAATACTCTTTGTGAACCAGGTTAATGGAAAGAAATAATTCTGCTCTTTAAACATCTTTATAAATAAGTCTATTTCTAGTGCCCCTTTTCCTTTTTTTAGCAGTGTAGCTAATGTCTGTACACAGTACTCTGAAGCGAGGGAGAGGCAGCTCTATTTAATAGACACCTCAATCTTTTGTCCTCTTAAATGAAGTACATTTATCTTTGAGTGCATGCTTTTCACCAATCCTGCTGGGTGTGAAGGAATGTGAGTTTGACTCAAAGTAGGAGGAGAATGCTGAACCATTACAGAAAAGATATCTGAATCCTGGGAAAGTAGAAAGCCTGAGAAAGAAAGTGAAAAAAGCTCCACCTTGATTGGGTTAGGTATAAGTTGAAACAGAAAAGAGGTGACAGGCTTTCAAGACTCTGTTGCAATAACCTAAACCTCATTGAAGTACATTCCAAGACTCCTAATGCCACCTGTTTCCTGTCCTTGCCTACTTTGAAAGGCTGACGCTGGCAGACACTTGTTTGAGTCATTCTTGCTTGACCATCTTTCTAGGCTGTTCGTAGACTTTTTACTTTCACTTCGGAAACCTGATTTTTCCAAGTTCTTACCATCTGAACTAGTTGGCATCCACCAGTAAAAAGGGAATGACTGACTCTTCCATTTAATCTGTTGCTGAGATTTGTTTTCCTTTATTCATTTGCTAAAGTTGTCAACTAGTGTCACTCTTTCTTATTCCGCTGCTTTTCTGACTATTTGTTCATTCTCTCAAAAGAATTCTTTTCATTGCTGGTACAGTTTCCCTACCTCTTCTTGGAAAAGAAAAATAAATAAAGCATACCTTAATACTTTTGTACCTCTCAATATTTTTCCTGTTCTTTTTTTCTAAAAATCTTGACTGTTTTTCTTCTTGAAAATATTGCAGTAATGCAGACCAAAGTTTGTGTTAATTTGTCAGAATATACAGTAGTTACACAGCGCGATTCCCTCTGCATCAAATGTATATAAAAGGGAGTGCCTCTGGCAGAACCAGACACACTGTTTCATTCATAACACACAGACACGCAAACATGTTCAATTTTATGATAGCAAAGGATTGGTGTTTTTGATTCCACACAGTGCAGAGTCATAAGAAACTACTATGGTTACTGAAATATCAGACTTGATCAAAACAGAAAAAAAAATCATTGCACTGAATTAAAAAATTGTTGAAGCTGATGTTTTATTATGATTTGCTTTGAAATTTTGTTGCAATGCCAGTGTTAGATAAAATGTATTTCTATCTTGTGGGTCCTATTATCCAGTAGGATGCATCCATAAAAATTCTCAATAGGCCCTTCCATGACATGAATAGTTCATAAGAATTTGGGGCAGTAAATATAACTGAATGTGGAGTATAGTACACAGGTTCTAGAAAAATTTTATTAAAAAAGCAGTAACACTGAATTATTATAAGAAAGATTGACTTACAGTCATCTGTATTTTTGTTAAGGTTCAGTTATTTTTCTATATTGTGGAAAGCAAATTGTTAGGGCACTTTAGCTAGTCAGGCCTTAATTTTGAATGGGATGAGTGCTAATTTCATGTTATTCATTGTAACCAGACTGATCAATTGAGACTGCGGTGACAATTCTTTCAAAGATGACATCTATAAAAGTCATACAAGAAAATCAGGCCTATACACCTTCCAATCTACAAAGGTGAAATGAAACCAACAGCATGCATTGTGGCAGGTGCTTGACAGCCATATCTGGTTATGCAGATTCAGTCAAAGTTTTATCAAACTCTGTTGATCATTAGCCTGGTGTGTTATAGCCAGGGAAATCTATAGTTAAAGGAAGAGAATGGGATATAATTTTGGAAGATCTTTGAAATATCTTTGAAATATCACCAGTAGTTGATCATTATCTATAACTCTGGGATTTAGTCAAGACATTATTTTGTTTGATGTAATTTTAAAATGTAATGAAGCTTAGCATATTGGCTAAGAAAATACTATTCTCAATTACTCGTAGTGGGCTATGACAATAAGCCTAACATAATCCTATAAAGAACTCCACCACTATAAGGTGAAATGAAACAGTTGGAAGGCAAGTGTCAAAAGTAATCTCATTCGTTTTCCAACATAATTGAACATGCACATGAAGAACACAAAATCTTTCAGTCTATCTTAAATAATCCTTTGAAATTAAGCAAGAGTACAGATACTATTTAGAAGCTTGCTCTTGACAAGCACTCCCACACTCTCACACAAGAATTAAGAAACACAGTTTTATACCAACACCAGGCCTCATGCCCCAAATCTCACTCATGTGGGGGCAAGAGGAAGAAGTATCATTTACATGTACAGTCCCACAGGGTTATGCAACTTTTCCCGTTGGCAATTAAAGACTTTGCTCAGTTTGTTTCTCTGATTAAATTGATTTTTTTTCTCAAACAAATCACTCCCTTGCCTTAAGTGATCCTAGCATCTTGAACAAATATAGACTTGCAAAAGTTTGGAAACAAGCAAATGCTTTTTGAATCTCAATTGGCATACTTTCTGATGACACACTCTCCTAGGGTGGTAGACACATTTAGGATGCTGCAACAAATACATACATGAGGTAGAATTTATATTGTGGCATCCCCCGCCCCCGGCAAGGATGAGAGCCAATTTTAATAGGTATATCAAAGGTTTTCCTCAGTTGGCACACATATTTTAGGCACATAGAAGGGGAAGAATACCAGGCGGAAAAGGCTGCAAAATGCACAGTGTAAATATCTATGATATTTCATCTGCATTTATCAGAAGACTTATTTCCATAAACCAACAACTCTTTTCTGACATTGCAACTATCAGATTTAGGTTTTAACTCAATGTTTCTACCAGTATGTCAAGTGCAAGACTAGCATCAAGCTAGCATGATCTAGAATGATTCCAGCTATGCAGAATTTGAGATTAGTCACAGAAACCACTATTAAGTATATATCCTTCTTTTATATCCAGTAAGAACACTCAAGACAGCTGTAAATATCAGTGCTGATGGCAATACTTTGTACCTAATAAAACCAACTTTCCTCATCCATAACTATTTTAGTTTGTAGTTGCCTCAAAACCTGTCATAACTGTGCAGGAAGACAATGTCTATTACTTTAATATGCCTCTAGATTTTATCAACATATTAATGGTTCAACTCAAGCAATATTTTCTAACTTCTCCCAGTGTTTTATCTTTTACCTGAGATGAATCAACCAAGTACAGTAATCATTGTCTGACTCCATGGGAAGAAAGCATTTGGGAAATGTTCACCCCTAAATCCAACCTGAAGCAGAATCATACCAAGCAAAAAGTTCACTTTCCCACTTTCCCAGGTCATAGCATATATCAGTGCATGTGCCTAAATACTCTCAGAACATACTACCCAAAACTCAGAGGTTGGTTGAGAAGCATTTCTACCATTTTTGAAAGAACTAAGATATAATAGAAATTTCTTATGGGAAGAATAGGATAATATGGTGATTTTTGTTGAATTCCTTGCAGTTCTTAATATTACCTCTTACCCAGTTTCTGACAGACACCTAGTCCATTAGAAAGAAGACTTGCAAAAAGTTCCAATTTCACTCCTTTCTTTGATGAAAGTAATATTCTACAGAATATAAGTCTTGATCTAACTATTTTCTACAGCCCATCTTCATGATATACTTCCGTATTTGTTTCAATTTCATCAATAATATAGGTTCTCTAGAATAAAAAATTATTTTTTCCAAAGTTCCAATCAAATGTTTAAAAATTTTTTTTATTAAATATATACCCCATGACAATCTAATGACTTTCGGCAGCCTATATAACAATGTAGTAAAAAATATTAAAACATCCACAGCATGATTAAAATAGAAATAGTGACTCCTGAAGAAGTGAACAGGGTTCTCCAGACTGTGAACTCAGTTTGCTAAATCTGGATCCCTTCTAGATGGCAAAGGTGCCTGTGCGCGTGGACCCTGTGTTGGGTCCATGCAATGGTATCAGCTACTTTAAGAGAGGAGGTTTTCCTCAACCTTGAAGGAGGAAGCAGTGCACTCCCTCCTCAAGAAGCCATCTGTGGACCAAACAATTCTGGACTATTTTTGTCCACTCTCTAATCTTCCCTTTCTGAGGAAGATTGTTGAGAAGACAGTTGGGCTTTTGCTCCAGAGATTCCTGGAGAAGATGGATTGTCTGGAACTATTTCAGTTGGGTTTCCAGCTGGATTATAATATGGAGGCAGCATTGGATGCACTTGTTGATGACCTATGGCAGAGCCACATCCTAGTGCTCCTTGATCTCTCAGCAGTTTTCAGTACCATCAAGCACAGTATCCTTCTGGACCAAACATAGGATTTGGGAGTGGGGGGCACTGTTTTGTGATAGTTCTCCTCCTTCCTTGGCAGCTAGTCTCAACCAGTGTTGGGGGGGGGGGGGGGGGGGGAGAGATCAAGGGATCAACCTTTGCACCCCCTTTGTTTAACAATTCCATGAACATACCATGTAAGATTACCAATCAGTTTGGAATCAAGTATAATTAGTATGCACATCTTGATCCTGGGCCAACCAGATGATGCTGTTGAGTGCTGTCTCAGTGTCTGGAGGCTGTGCAGGTCTAAATGGGGAGGAACAGACTCAGACTCAATCCTGACAAGATTTAGTGGCTGCAGATATTTGGCCTCCCTGGGTCTGGGATTTTCCACCTTTGGTCTTGGATGGGATAGTCCTTCCCCACTTAAGACTGATGTGCAAATTGTGGGTTATCTTGGACTCATACCTCTTGCTAGAAAAGCAGATGGTAGCTGTAGCCAAGAGAGCCTTTGCAGAAGTATATCTAGT